ACCACTCGTGGGGCCGGTGATTGGAGAGGGGGAGTTCGGGTGAGCCTACGCAGCTGGGGAGGGAGGAAGAGGGGACAGGCACCTGTTGGGGGAGGGGGGAAGAGGGGACAGGGACTGGCACCTGTTGGGGGAGGGGGGAAGAGGAGACAGGGACTGGCACCTGTTGGGGGTGGGGGGAGGAACAGGTGGCACCACCTGTCTGAGGGGCACGATGACTTCTGGGGGTCGGTGGCATCACCCAGCTAGGGGGAAGGATGGGGCCACCTGCCGTGGGGGGTGTGGGATCACCTGTAAGGGATGCTGTGGACCACTTCCGGGGAGGGGGGTGGCAGGGATGATGGCAGGGGGGTCTCTGTGCTGCTGGCACCCCCATTCTGACAGCTCCTCTCCCCCAGGAGCGAGGAGGCAACAACTCCTTCACCCATGAGGCCCTCACGCTCAAGTACAAACTGGACAACCAGTTTGAGCTGGTGTTTGTGGTAAGAGACCCCTCCAGGCACCCCCAGCGTGGCAGGGGGGTCCCTCCAGCCTCCTGGGGTGCCTCCAGACCTGAGGGAGGGGGATTGTCCCAGAACAGAGAGGAGAGAATTCCTGGTGTGTTGTGGTTTGGGCAAACAGCTGTTCTCATTGCCTGGGGCTGCACCTTGGCTCCCAGACTGGCTGGCCCCTCTGGCTGTGAGATTTTGGAGGGTGTGGTAAAGGTCTTGCCATTCCTGGCTCTGGGAGGGTCTCAGGGGTCCGAACAGTGCCCCCAGCACAGCCAGGTTCCCCACAGCAGGTGGGCACAGGTGTCTCTCAGCCCTTCACCGCTAGGGGAGCAGCTTATTTTAATCATCTGCAACAGGATTAAAACTAATCAAACCTCAAATAGAACCTGCAGCCTCGTGAAACTTCACTTTTTCCAGAGTTATTTAAAAATAACCTCAGAAAGGTGTCACCCCCTGTCTTTACAGAGCATTTAACGCTCTCCCTTTCAGTCTGCCCGCTCCTTATCTCCATAAATCCACACAAGCTTTCCTGTGGACTTAGAGATAAGCAAAAGGTTCTCTGCCCTGGTGCCACGTGTCTTTGTAGCCATGAGACAAGCCCGTGTGTGTTGGTGCTGCCTCGGGGCTGGTGTTTACCTTTTTGGGGGAATTTTCAATCTCGGGAAGGCGGAGCAGCAAGCACAGCCTGGAGCTTGCCTACTCTGAATTAAACAGGGAGGATTTTGCTCCCTTGCTGCTGTTCAATGAGCTGGGAGTGCAGTGTCTGTTGTCTGTGCCCCTGGGCAGGTGGGCTTCCAGAAGATCCTGACTCTAACCTACGTGGACAAGTTGATAGACGATGTCCACAAGGAGTTCAGAGACAAGTACCGCAACGAGTTCCAGCAGAAAGGGGCCCTGGGCCTCCTAAACGGCACCTTTGATTTTAAAGATGACTTCATGCGCCTCCTCCGGTACCACAGCCTGGTTTTTGTGTTAAATGTCTGTTTTGAGCAGAGCTGGGAGGGGTGAAAAAGAGCTGGAATCCAGGCTAACGGGTCACCTTCCCGCAGGGATGCAGAGGAGAGCAGCAGAGTCCGAGCTCCCACGGTAATGAAGACGTTTGAGCAGTCTCTGAAATCCCAGAAGACTGTCAAGTGTATGATCGAAACCCGGGGGGAGAAACCAAAGGAGAAGGTCAAGAACAAGAAGAACAAAGGTTCCAAAAAAGAGGGTGAGTTGATGGGGATGATAAATTGGGGGAACAGGGGTGGGGAATATTCCAGAGCTCTGTGTTCCAGCCTGTGCTTTCCCAGCCCGCTTGGAGCTGGTATAAGCTCGTGTGGGGCCTCTTTCTATCAGGAACTGAAGCTGCTGCAGCACCCAGTAAAGCATCCGGGGGTGACAAACAGCCCCCAGCAGCAGGGGACAAGGAGGAGCTGACCAAGGATGAAATCCTGCAGAAGAACCGCGAGGAATTCTTCAGGAGACACATGAAAGCCGGGGAGAAGTCCAGGTGGGTGATGAGAGCACAGTCAGTCTGCCTGTGCTTTGAACCAGACCATGGCTGAGTCTCTCCTTTTGGTGACCCCTGGAAGTCAGACCTTGCTTTCCTGGGCCTTATTTCCTTTTCCTTATTTCTCTCCTTGCTGGAAAGACTGGGAGAGGGCAGCTGGGGGTTTCTGAAAGGGAAATAGAACTTGGGAGAGACCCAGAAACCCAGCGTGTGCCTGGGAGAGGTCCAGACCTGTCTTGAGTGAGCAGACAGCAGCGATGCATCAACACCTGGCTCGAGGGGAACCAGTGCTGTACAGGGTTAAAGTTCAGAAATATAAACTTTGCAGACCAAATCAGCCAGGTTTAGCCTTAATTTCTGCCTTTTTGGGTAACGCAGGCTTTTATTTTTCACACCTTCTGAGGAGACGATGGCTCTGCTCCCCTGCCCTGAACACAAGGCGTGTCCTGCTCTTTTGTCTCCTCAGATCTCCCAAGCCCGACGCACAGAAGGAGAAGGGGAAGAAGCCCCGGGTGTGGGATCTGGGGAACTCTAATGCCAAAGTACTGGATTACAGTAACTCCACTACCAATGGCAGCGCCGAGGCCTGTCCCGTGGAGGAGTTCGACCCTGACATGGTGAGGGGAAGTCGGGGCACTCCGCGTTGTTCTGGGCTCAGCTGGGCATTGTGAACCCAGCCCGGTCTCCACGGCTGGATGAGAAGGGATCAAACAGAGCTCTTGGCACCCAGCCCCTAAAGCCACTTCTCCCCTCACAGGCCCTGGGGAATAAGAATCGGGAGCCCGGCCGCCTGTACGACCTGGAGTATGAGAGTGAGGATGAAGCCGAGGAGGAGAAGGTTGTCCAGAACACTTCGAAACCCAGGTAAGGCTCCCACAGCCCCTGCTTGTCACATGGGCCTTGATTTCTCTCCTGTGACTCCTCCTCCAGTCTAACCAGTAATGCAGGAACTGCACACACTGAATAGTGTGTTTGCCCACTTGCAACTCGCTCCCGAACCTCAAGGTACCTCCTCTGCTTCTCCATAGCGCGAAGAAGGGTGGCCTGGGGGGCATGTTTGGCATGCTGAAGGGGCTGGTGGGCTCCAAGAGCTTGACAAGACAGGACATGGACCCCGTGCTGGAAAAGATGAAGGATCACTTGATTGGTACGTCTGGATCCGTGGTGAGGTGGTTCCTTGTGCTCTTCTGGGTGGGCCCCGGTGTGGGTGACACCGATAGTTTGGGATGTTCCTGCCCAAAGGAACTGTGGTGGGTTCCTGTCCAACCTCTTGACAGTGCAGCAGAAGGGGGGCAGTGGTCAGGTCCAGAGGGGACCCTGAGCTCCATGCTTCCGTTGATGCCGATGTCTGGCACGTGTAACCTCGGCAGCGCTGACTCCCCGCTCTCTCTCTCAAAGCTAAAAATGTGGCAGCCGAGATCGCTGTGCAGCTCTGTGAGTCCGTGGCCAAGAAGCTGGAAGGGAAGGTGATGGGAACGTTCACCAGTAAGTGTCTGTGTGGCCTCCTGTGTGTGATCTGGAGCTTGGGAGCTTTCCCCAGGCATGACTGGTCCTCTTTCCATCCCCCCGCCCGTCCCCAGCGGTGACCTCGACAGTGAAGCAGGCGCTGCAGGAGGCCCTGGTGCAGATCCTGCAGCCCCAGCGCCGCGTGGACATGCTGCGCGACGTCATGGATGCCCAGCGCCACCGCCGGCCCTACGTCGTCACCTTCTGCGGCGTCAACGGCGTCGGGAAGTCCACCAACCTGGCCAAGGTAGGGCAGGACCCTCCGGGATCCTGGGAGCGGCGTGATGGGGTCAGGCTGCGGCTGCCAACACATCTGACGTGCTGTCACCCACAGATCTCATTCTGGCTCATCGAGAACGGCTTCAGCGTGCTCATCGCCGCCTGCGACACCTTCCGTGCGGGCGCGGTGGAGCAGCTGCGCACCCACACCCGGCGCCTCAACGCGCTGCACCCCCCAGAGAGCCACGGCGGGCGCACCATGGTGCAGCTCTACGAGAAGGGCTACGGCAAGGACGCGGCGGGCATCGCCATGGAGGCCATTTCCTATGGTAGGTGTGGTGCCGGGGGAGCCGCCGTCCCTCTCGCCGCCCCCCCCATCCTTCACGGCCCTTCCCTGTGTCTCCAGCGCGGAACCAGGGCTTCGACGTGGTGCTGGTGGACACGGCCGGCCGCATGCAGGACAACGCGCCCCTCATGACTGCGCTGGCCAAGCTCATCGCCGTCAACGCGCCCGACCTGGTCCTGTTCGTCGGGGAGGCGCTGGTGGGGAACGAGGCTGTGGATCAGCTGGTGAGCCATGTGGAGGGTTTTGTTCCTGAGAGGTGGAGAAAAAAACCTGGTTCTGTAGGTTTTACAGTGGTAGCACCACAACTGCGTGTCTTGGATGTTCCTCCTCCCTCAGGTCAAGTTCAACAAGGCTCTGGCTGATCACTCCATGGCCCAGACGCCGCGGCTCATTGACGGGATCGTCCTCACCAAGTTTGACACCATAGATGACAAGGTAAGGAGCTGCTGAGGCGGCTCTGCACAGACCTTCTGGTTGGTGCCCGCGGGGGAGGCGGGAATTGTCAAAAACAGGACGCTCCTGCGCTTCCCTCTCGTGTTTGACCCAAATTTAGTGGGGTGGTTTCCACACGTGGGGGACAAGCGTTTGATGAGCTCCCTGACGGGTTCCCCAGGGGGAAGCGCCGTGTTTCAGGCGCTGAATGCTTGTCCTCGGCAGGTCGGCGCCGCCATCTCCATGACCTACATCACGAGCAAGCCCATCGTGTTCGTTGGTACCGGACAGACCTACTGTGATCTGCGCAGCCTTAACGCCAAGGCCGTGGTCGCCGCGCTCATGAAGGCCTGAGCCACCAAACCGCTGTGTGCAGATGTCCCAGGAGAACATGCTTTACCCCGTCACCGACTAGTCCTTCCCGTGTAGTGCAGAACAGAATGAAGGAATACCAGCATGGGGGTTACTTTTCTTGGATAAAGCCCCTTTTATCCAGCAAAAGCCCTGCCCTGCGTTCCTCCATTCTGTCCCAGTGATGCAGGCTCCCTGGCGGGGAGGCCGAATCCAGAGCTTTGTATTGTTCATGCTGCACGGGGGGTGGGCGGTGCCAGGGCCTGCTGTGCTTTTTGGGGGGTTTCAAGGCATTTTTTGAGCTGCTTTTGATTTTTAGGCCAGCTTAGGGAGGAGGCAGGAGGGACTTTGGCTTATGGGCAGCGTTAGACCTGGCTGTTAATGTCGCTGCTCGTGGCAGCTCCACTGAAGCTGATAAACCAAAAAAAAAGTCAACAGCCTGTGCTGGGCTGGAGGGGAAATGCTAAATTGCCTTAAGGTCCTCCATTTCTGCCCTCACCAGGACTCCAGAGTCCCCAGACATCACATATTTGAGCAGGAGCTGGAGAGCTGTGGCAGCCGGGTGTGGAGGGGGAAGGCAGCAGGCCTGGCTCCTGCCCACTGGCCTCAGTGGTACCTGCTAGTAAAAAGGAAATAAACCAAACCACATTAATACTGGAAGAGAATGGTGGCTGCTTGCTGCTTTCCTGCACCCTTTCTCCCCCCTCTGAGTGCCTCTTGATCCCGGTTGGAAGTGCTACACTGAATAATACAAAACTCTCTGACAATGTCTTGTAGCTCTGTATTGCAGATGTGCTCTAGTGCAATAAATTGAATGCTGTCTGCTAAGAGACATAATTTATATGAAATAAACTTCATAATTTGTTCTCTGTGTATAAATAACTTGCCTCCAGCCAGGACCTGTTTCCTCCTGGGTTGGGGGCAGAAGAGTTCCCACCAGTGTGAGGTGTGAGAGGGCCTGTCAGTGACACACCAGCCAAAGTTCAGTGAGCAGGCCTTTAATGCAACTTCAACATACAAAATACTGTACAGTATAAAGACAGGACTAGAAAACTAGAGCTTCCAGTAAAAAAAAAAAAAAAAAAAAAAAAAAAAAAAAAAAAAAAAAAAAGCTCAAGTTTCATTTTTTTAAAATTGAAATACAGAATATAAAAGCACTAGGTATGAAATTAGAGGAGGCTGCAGCTCCCTTGGGGGCACTGCACTCTGCAGGCACTCGCAGCCCCCCCAGAACCACGATGAGCTATGTTAAACCAGGTGTCTGTCCAAGGAGGCTCTGCCCAGCCTCTTCCCTGCTGGAAGGGTCCTGGCTCCGTGGGCTCTGGCCCCCCTGGGGCTGCTGGCCTGGCTTGGGCCCATCCTGGGAGCCCCCCACAGCTCAGGGCAGGGCTGAGGCTCAGGTGCTGCATCCTGTGGGGAAGCAAAGGCTGAAAACCTGCCCAGGACTCCAGGGAGTCACAGAGGGCAAAGTCTTGGCTCGGGAGAGCCTTCCTTACCTTTTCTCTCGGCGTGGGCAGCCATGGAGCCGTTCAGCTGCTGCCCCTCCTTGGGCACACCTGGGGGAGAGCAGGGGCAGCTTGAGGTGACCCTGGGGAGCCCCTGTGGGAACCAGCTGCCCACAGGGTGGTTTAACCCTCGGAACAGCTGCCGGCAAGGCTCTGGCCAGCAAACCCACTTTCCCCCATTTTTAAGATTTCTGTATGTACATTAAAGCACTGGCTCGGGCTGAGCAGTGTAAAGGTCAGCCAGACTGAAATGGCCCTTCAGTAGAAGGGGAACAAACAGCTGCACGCGAAGAGCGAAGTTTGCAGGCGTGGGAAGCAGCACAGCTGTTCAAACTGATGGAACACACGGAATTCATTAACAGTAACCCCAGATACAGCGACGCTTGGAGACTTCCTAAGGAATCTCCATGGAGTGTGGAGAACAGGGGCTATGAGCACTGTGAAGAGGTGTCCCCTCAGCCCGTGCCCCCGTACCTGTGCGGCCCCGCATGGCGATCTCGCTCGTCAGCCGCTCGAAGTACTCGGGCAGGTCGGTGTACTCGTCCCCGTAGGAAATCACCTTGATCCCCTTGTCCAGCATGTTCTCACGGAGCTTCTTGAACTCATCCACATCCCCCCTCCGCACCAGCATGAAGTGCTCCAGGTCTGACTTGTGCTTGACAGCCTCTAAAAACAGGGCCTGAAACGTGGTGTCATCAACAGTCCAACCACAGCCCAAGAAGAGGAAGGACTTATTTTCATAGAGCTTCTGAATCTCTCGCTTTAAGAAAGGGAAAGATGTTCTTGGTCAAGGTGAGCTTCATCCTCACAAGAAACAGCACCTGCCTTATCCCTGATGAGGCTCTGCAGCATTGCCCTCGTTAAGTCACCCTCAGCACAGGCATGGGGAAGTGTTTTGGCACCTTGGTAGGCTAGAGGATCCAACCCTCTTATTTCCCCAAATGAATTAATTCTCCCTCCACCCTCAGTCCTAACTCAGCTGAGCCTGTGCCTGGGTGACCCAAGGCCCAGGACCCCCTGTGGCCTCACCATGACCTCAGTGTTGCGCAGCACGTTCTGGTAGCCGGCGGGGTGCAGGACGATGCCGCTGGGGTTGGTGTAGACGCCATGGATGTGCAGCACACTGAGCTTCCTCTTCTCCTGCGCCCACTCCAGCACCTGCACAACACGGTGCAAAACAACGAATCAATACACCGCTCCGAGCAGAAAAAAGGGGAAAAAAACCCACCTATAAATCCTAAGTCCGTGTGTTTCTCAAGCCTTCGAAGTTTTATTCTTGGCCCCTGGGCTCTGAGGGAGCTCACCAGCTGACCTCCATTTCAGACAGCCACTTCCCAGGCTCTCAGTTTACTTCTGCAGACCTCAGGTCGTTTAAGCTTGCAGTAATTAGAATGCTTATTTGTAACACTGTAAGTACTTCCAGCCATGTAGATTAAGAGGTCACGCAGGAAACGAAGCACAGAAATGAGTCAGAATGGAAAGAGACCAAGGGCTGCACAGCACACACACCTGGGGTGTGCTTAACATGCCAACAGAAGGACAAGACGCTCCCCACCAGTAAAACCCACGACAAAAAGTTGAAGGGGGCGGGTGGCTCAGGGTTTCACAGCCTGACTGGGGCAGGAGGAAGGGAAGTTTGTGTGAAGTCAGCACCTATGGCTCTGAGAGCATGGCAGAAGGAGCTGGAGCACGAGCCATTCGGCCATTGCAGAAAGAAGGCACAGGGTAAGAGAGAGCCCTGAAGGCTGCAGCCCCAAACGTGCTCTGTCACCAAAAGCCCTTTGCAGCCCATGACAAAAATAGAAAGCTCAGCTTTGTGTCTCACACGGAGTTTCCCATATCAGTTAGAAACATCAAACCCAGCCTTATGTGGAAGTAAGACCAAGCCAAAAGTTTCAAGGACAGAGATCAAAGAAATACCAGGCTGAAGGGCTCCTCCTGAGGACTGGATGGCAGCCAGCAAGCAAAGCACAGCCTTCCAGAAAGGAGCGTTCCTCCCCATCCCTCTGCTCAGCTGCCTCTGCCTGGAGCCTGTCTGACACCAGTTAAACCACTGCTGTCAGTACAATCCCCCCTCAGGCAGTGTGAGGGCACATCCTGCAGCATCCCAAGCACATCCCTGACAAAAGAAACCCTCATCCTTTACCTTCTTTTCATCAGTCAGGTCAAGAGACTCGAGGTGCTTCCCCTGGTGCGCTGCGTACAGCTCCAGCAGGTTATCGAAGTTCGTGGTTAACACAAGGGCCCCGTTTTCCATCAAGTGAAGCACAGACTGAAGCAGCTGCTTCCCAGAATCTTCCATTTTAGACTCCAGGTCATCAAACACCTCGTATAAACAGTCCTTGAAAAAGGTTGAGCGAACGTTGCTTGTGCGCTGGGGAGACAGACCGAGATCAGAGCCCTGAACGCCTCATGCCAAACACCCCGAGAAAAACCACCCACGTTTCTCCAAGACCCTGCAAAGCTCTGGGTCCTTGCAGGGCAAACACAGAGCTCTGGCTGCACCAAGGTGGGTTCTGCCCCCCCCAGCACAATCACAGAATCCCAGAATGGTTTGGGCTGGAAGGGGCCTTAAAACTCATCTCATCCCACCCCCTGCCATGGGCAGGGACACCTTCCACCAGCCCAGGTTGCTCCAAGCCCCTCCAACCTTCCAGGGATCCAGGGGCAGCCACAGCTTCTCTGGGCAACCTGTGCCAGGGCCTTCCCACCCTCACAGCCAAGAATTCCTTCCCAATATCCCATCTAACTCTGCCCCCTGTCATTCCCCTTGTCCTGTCACACCAGGCCCTTGTAAAAGGTCCCTCTCCATCTTTCCTGTCGCTCCTTCAAGCACTGCGAGGCCACAATGAGGTCACCCCAGAGCCTTCTCTTCTCCAGGCTGAACAATTTCAATTCTCTCAGCCTTTCCTCATAGCAGAGGGGCTCCATCCCCTGATCATCTTGGTGAAATACCCCAAATCTGTGTCCAAAGCAGAGTTGTGCCTCAGGAACCTGGCACAGTAATTTCCTTGTACATAGAGGAATTGTTGGGGATGGGGGTTCCATTGCTGGAAAACCAAATGTGGCTATTTCCAAGAGCCAAATCCTACACTCAAGGAACATTTGTGCAGTGCTGCAGCCCACTGACCGGAGACAGCTTCTGGATAAGGTCATGGGCAACATGAACCAAGTTCTTGTCTTCATGGAGACACTTCTGGAACCGTTTGCTCTCTTCATCTTCCAGGAGATCAAAGTCAATAGCAGCATCCAGGAGGGCCTGGATCAGCCCCTTCCAAGACTTCAGTGCTGGGACCTGGGGAGCAACTGCAGCACTAATTCCTGTCCCAATCACCAGAACGAGTTCCCGAGGCTTCTTGGTTTTGAGGCTTGGCAACAGCTTCCTGCAAGAGGAGAAAGGAGCACAGCTGGTACCACCATGGATGGAGGAGTGTCTGGGGTGGTGGGACATGAACCGAGGGTGAAGGAGGTACCCCCTGCCTGAATTTGGAGTCAACACGTCCATTAGGGCCCTCTGATAAACAAAGGATGTGCATCCCTAAAAGACAGCATGGATCAGCAGCACAGATGCTCACAGCACCAGGTATGTACTTACAACAGACTTGGGAATCCAGTCTGTTACCGGGATGGTTACTGGGGAAGTCAGTGATACCCTGGAATGCTTCCGAAGCAAAGTTAATCCAATGAGAATTTGGAATGAGGGAAGTCTTGTTAATACAAGTTACCTGGAAGCTTAAGGGAAGGCTGCAGGCCCTGGGAAAGGTGTGGTGAGCACTAAGGAATGAGAGACACACATTCTACATCCCGGGACAAGGCGTGGATGGGACCTACATGGGACGGGAACACCACCTGGTTCAAACAAGGTGCAGAACAGGGGCCTGGACACAGCAGCACCATCTATCCCAGCACAGAAGGAAGGAAGGGAAGGCTTCCTCTCAGCTCTGCCCTGGAGGGGACCTTCCCACCTCCCAGCCTGTTTGCTGAGACCTCTCAACTGCCCCAGCAACCCCTTCCCTGTGGCACCTGCAATGTCAGCAGGATGCTCCAGGCCAACCTTTTGGAAGCCCAGATGGATACAGAGTCACATGAAAGAGCTGCAGGGCTGTATTCTCCTTCCTCCTCGTCCCATCTTCTCTGTTTTCCTGGCTTTACACCTGCACAGTGCTCTAGAACATGACATGATCATGTATTGAGCAGATGGGCTGCTCCTGCCTTTGCCTTGCCCCGTGTCCAGCTGCAGCTTCCCAGAGGATCGGAGCAGCAGCCCAGGGGAGCAGCTCGCTTGGAAGGAATGGGTTTTATCAGCAAACACGTGATACTGAGTGAGAAGGGGAGAGGAAACTGACACCACACAGATGGAGCTTTGCTTTCCCTCAGCTCCTGCCTATGAAAACAGACACGTTAACCCTTTCCTTGAGGAGGGCCCCACTGTCAGTGCTGGTAAACAGGGTTTCATCTGGGGACTGCAAGCCTCACACACAAGGAATAAATCAGTATTCAGGCTCATGAGCTACTACAAAAACACTATTGGGACTGAAATCCAAAATAATAACAAATAGCCAAGTCTTAATGTCCTGCATGACATCTCTGAAAGAGGCATTCCACTCCCTGCTGACAAATACACTTGTTTCTGCCCTGATATGCTGAGCAAGGGAAAAATAATCTCCTGGCCTCTTTTCTGCTCTTTCCATGGTCATGGAACAACCTTGAGACCACACAGGAACTATCCTGCAGCCCTCCAGAATTCATAAATAAGTCAGATTAGTGGGAGACAACTCCCCAGATGAATTAGCTGCTTGTTCACAAGTTCATGCCTGAATTTCTGAGCTCGCAGCAGCCCCGGTTCCAGCCTTGGACAGGAGTGTGGGTGTGCCCCACTCAGGTCCCCACGCACAGAACTGTAACACGACCTATTTCTTAGCAAGGGGAGCCTCTAGAGCAGAATTATTCAGCCTTTACATGCAGCTCAATCACAGTAATTTATGTAACTCCCTGGGAACCACCATCCAGCTCAAGCGAAGGAGCACAACCACCGTGTCTGACCTGACCTCGCATGCAGACAGGGCAGTAAAACACAGCTCTGAGTGTAACCTCGCACCCTGGCTGAGTGTTAAACTCCCAAAAAAGGACATCGTGGGCGTGAAGGCCTTTGTTCCACAGGAGGCCCAGGGCACAGCCAGAGCCAGCACGTGGTTCTTGGATCAGGAAGCAAAACGGCCACAGGCGCCAGGGGTCACAATCCTTAAAGAACAAAGCGAGGCAAAGGAAAAGGCTCTTGCTGGGAGAAATTCACTGGAGCATAATTAAATTTACCTGGGCTTCTTTGCAGGTGGCATTCCATCTTCCAACAACGTTTCCTTGCTCAGGCTCACCGTAGAAGCCATCCAGTTTCTATGGCAGACAAATCACCACAGGCAAAGTCACCACACATCCACAACAGCACCTGGACAGCAGGATTTTGCAGAGCCAGCTTTGCACAGGCGGATAAATCCCGGGTTCGTTATCGTTCTCAGATCACCTTTGGGCTGAGGATTGCACCTTTCTGTCTCTGCACTTTGCCCCACCGTCTCATCCACTTCCTTCCCCTCCTTTACCATAAAATCACAAGGCTGTTTTGCGCAGCCAGGTGGGATCTGTCCCGGCACCGCCGCGTTTCATGGGAGAGCCCGGACCTTGGAGCAGCGCTCCCCCCCTTTCCCAGCGAGGCCTGTCAGCAAACTCGCCGCTTGGGAAACAGTGGGAGGGCAGAAAAGACAAAAAGATTTCTGTTGGCTCTGAAAAGCCACGGAGAGCGTTTCATTCCCTGGTGATGAGGGAAGGCTTTCCCAGCCCGCCGCGTGTCTGCAGGCGCTGGGAAACAGCCCCAAAGCCCACGGAGAGGAAGTGGAGCCTGAGAGCTCTTTCAGCAGCCTTGTGACACAAGACACAAAAGAGCTGCCAGCACACAGTTCTCTCCCAAGCTGCTTCTCCCAAATAAGTCTACAAAAAGGAAATGAAAGCGGGCAGAACTGTCCACCCTCCTCTGCTTTTCTTCTTGCCAATTGTAATGAAGAGTCCAGCACAAACTCTGTGAGACACAAGGCTTTTGCCCAGAGGGAACACTGAGGGAGAGCTGCTGACCCTGAAATCACAGGGTTTTGCAGCCTCGGGGAGCTTTGAGGGTTTGTCCCACAAACAAGGTGCTGCAATTGCTCCCTGGCAGCAGAGCAGGTGACACAGGGCAGCTCCTTGCAGGTAGGACACCTTGGCTGTACTGCAAGGTTTGGCACAGATCCTGTGAGAAATCATCCCAATAATCCAGGAAACCACAAGCTTTCAATGCTGGATGATGAGAACAGGGCACAGAGACTCTAACAGATGCTCAGACACAGCTTGTGTGCAGCCTTTCCTTCCTGACCCCTTGGAAAACTGTACAGTGGAATCAGCAAATGTTTTGGGTTGCACAGAACCTTAAAGCCCACCTGGTTCCACCCCCATGCCATGGAGGACACCTTCCACTAGGCCAGGTTGCTCAATAATAAATCATTAAAACACCTCAGAGAGCTGGTTTTCACCACGTGGCTCCTTAAACATCCCTGAACACATTCTAAACTGGATATAATTCAAATTAATATTATCTTTGGGTTGTGAATTATCAGCTAAGACTCAGATATCAAGGCTTGTACACTGGCCTTCCCCTGTTTGCTTCCTCCTGCCTCAGCACCGCTCCCACCTCGCTCCCCCCACACATTCCCAGGCCATCAACAGCAGCAGTGGAGCCATCCAATCAGTTTTTAAGTGCCTCTAAAGCAATAAGGACACTTCAAAAGTCATTTTGAACTTAGGGAAAAACACCTTTTAGAATTATAATCACCAAGAAATGGTTGTCTGATATAACAACCTTTGACCTTCATTTCTATTTAGTGCAGGGAGCCAAAAAGGAACAAAAAATCCACTATACATACAGACTTTAAAAAGTTCTTACTTCTCTTACTAACCAAAAATGTTCTTATTTCTCTTAAAAACAAGCCATAAAGGTTTAGCCAAGAAACAGAAACCTCCAGGTTTCAGGCCTGGGGAGAAGCTCTACTCCCCAGGGGGACAGATAGTGCCAGCACACCTGAGGTAGCATAAATTAAATGGAATTACCTCAGAGTACACTGCCACGGGGAAAAAACACCCCAGGATCCTCCTGGGAACATAGGTGCCATGGAGGAGAGTGAGCCATGGGCACTTACAAGGTAAGTGTCTCTCCAGCCTTACCAAGATGTTGGCAACCTTCCAGATATTTGGACTACAGGGAGTTGCAGGGTCTGGAGAGATCACACTCCATGGATTCCTGGCTCAGCTGCCCCGTTCCCCTGTGCCAGCCTGGTCTCCATCACCTTCACCAGAGACACTAAAGGGTTCTCCTTCCCCATCCACACCACACAAACCCCTTCCTTTATCCTAAAGCCTTCCAGCGAGGAACCATCAGCTTTAAACTGTGGCCAAGGCACCAGCACTGGGTGAACCCAAGCACAGCCATTCCCTGTCTAACACAGACACATCCAGCTGTAGGAACTCCAGGTGTATCCCAGGTCAAAGCAAACACCTGAACACAGCGCATCAAACCAAGGCTGAGGCACACATAGGGTGTTTATTTACAAAAACCTCACTGTAACTAGGCAAAGCATAACCACAGCACTCAACCTGCAGGACTGAAAAGGGGAGTTAATGGCATGTTTCCCCCACTACCTGATGGGGAAGTCACTGCCCAAACCACCTCTACGCTCAGCACCCAACAAAAGAGAAGCTACACCCGGATGCTGAAGCTGAAGCCAAGTGATCGAGCTCTGAGCTGGAAGATGGGCTCCTCCAGAGCAGCCTCTGCCAATTCCATAGAGAAACAAGCATGGATCCATTGCTCATGCATTATTTTTAGCTTCTTTGAGTGCTGAGCAGAACCACGACCAGCCAGGATGTCGTTCAGAGCTCCTTCCTCACCCCAGTGGCTTTGGGATAAGATGGTTTAGACCCCCCATGTTTCATCCTGAAGTTGAGCTGGCCCTGGCCAGTTCCTAAGCTCTGTCCCTCCACGTGGGATCTGCAGCTGGAGCCGGATCAGAATCACCCTAGGAGGGCACAGTGGGGTGCAGGGACAGTGGGACCGAGCAGGACAAGCCCTACTCCCGCCACGCCCCAAGCACTCCAGGTTCAGCCCCCTCGGGTGCGAGTTAAAACACACCAGAGGTTTTCATTCAACGCCTCGATCCTCCACGTGCTTCCATGAGCAAGGAGAGAGGGTGACACAGCAAAGCCCGGTAGAGCTCTGTATCCTAGAGCTCCCACGGGAGCTTCCAGGAGTGACTCCGGGAAGGGAAGCGGGGAGGGGGGTCGCACCCCCAAGGATGCCCGAGGCCTTACCTGTCTTCTCCGCCGCGCCCCCTCCTCGCTAAACCTGCGGGAAAAGCAACAACGCGGGCACTCAGCGGGCGGGGAGGAGGCCGAGGCTCCTTCCCGGGGGAGAAAATCCATGAAAACGGGCTTTTATAGAGAGCGAGGGCGCGGAGCAAGGGGGTAGGCACAGTCAGGCCGCAGCGCCCCCAGCGCCGTCAAAGCTTCCCCGGTCTCCCCGGGCTCATCCCCGACCCCCTCAGGCTCCTCCGCGCCCCGAGGCCGCTCCGTCCCCTCACGACCACGGGACACCCCTCACCCCCGCTATCGCGGTGGCCGCTGTCGCCATGGCAACCGGCCCGTCCCCATGGCAACCGGCCCGTCCCCATGGCAACCGGCCCGCCGCGCGCCCGGCACGCACCTGGCGCCGCGCGCGCGGCCCATGGAGGAGACGCCGCCGCGCCGCGCGCAGCCGCCTCGCGCCCGGCCACGCCCCCCCCGCCCCGTGGGGATTGGCCCGCCCCTCTCTCGCCCCGCCCTCCCCTCGGCTCCCGGCGGAAGGGGCGGGAGCCGGCTTGGGAAACTCTCGCGAGGCTTCGCGGAACTATAAAATGCGCGGGGCGCATGCTCGCTGCCGTCGCGGGCTGTGAGGTGGCGGCGGGCGGGTTTGGCAGCGCCGCTCACACCGCTCTGCCCGGGACTGCTGCTGTGGGCCTGGCAGTGCACTGGTACCCCTGCCGCCACCTGCGCTCGTGTCTGTGCGACAGCGACTCCAGCCCTGTGAGGTACAAGTGGAGCCCGGCCCGGGGCGGCCGCTGCGATGCGTTCAGGCATCTGTGTGTCGGAATTTGGGTGTATTTGCAGCTCTCCAGAGAGCAAGGCTACTGTTTGGCTTCTGGGTAGCTGCGCGTCGCTTTTTATTTGCGCTATAAGTGAAAGCACGTCGATCGTGTGTTTAGGGAGAAATCGGCTTTATTTTCCCACCCGAACACCTTTGTTTGACCCTGCCTTGCAGCACCCTGTCCTCACCTTTTCCCACTTCCACAGGCGGGTTCCCCGCGATGACCGACCTGAAATTGGTGCAGCAGGGGTTTCAGAGAGGTGCTGGTGTGCCCGGGCACGCTGTGAATGGAGCCGTGCCTGCTTAATTGCTCTGAATTATTCCTTTAAGGATGGTCCCGTTATCGGGTGGAGGTGCTGCCCCTCGGGACGCGTGGGTTCACCCCTGCTCAGGTTCCCCCCCTGGGGCGGCTCGGGGGGTCTCCAGATGAGGTGACTCACACGGGCAGGTGACTCTGGGCCGTGTCCTCGGGCAGGGAGTTGGTTTTTGGGGCGGTGGCAGCAGTGCCGGGGCAGGGATTAATGGGAAATGGGTCACTAGGGGACGAGCGGTGACCTCGGGGAGGTCGGAGAACTTGGGGCTTATCTCTGAGGGAAATACTTGCTTCCCCAGGCGTGGGGGGTTGTCATCCCAGTCGCTGCTCCAGGTGAAGAGTGGGAGATGCTGACCCATGTCCATGCTCAGGACCTCCCTGTGCTCCCCGTGGAGGTGCTCCTGTGTGAGTGCCAGGGCTGCCTTCTCCGGGGGTCCCAGGGATGCCAGGAGCCTCTGCAGGCACTTGTAGGTCAGGGGGGCTTTGCTGTCATTCAGGGTGAGGCGGGAGGGGCTCAGCACCAGGGCTGGATCTCCAGTCACCCACCTCCCGGTGTCACAGGGGGCGTGGGGCACCTCCTGGATCATCCCCAGCCACCAGCTCAGACATGGTGGGTGGAGGGTTTAGTGTCCACCTCAGAGGTCCCCACATTGTCCCCCAGCGTGGAACACATCTGGGCAGCCCCATGCCAGGAACATCCTGGCAGGAAGCTGGGGTGGGCGTGCAGCCCCTTGAGACCCCCCCCAAATCCCTGGGGGGCGGCACCAGGACTCACCTGGAGCCCATGTCCCACAGGGCATGGAGGAATCACCGGGCACTGGAGGGGGTGAGGGTGATGAGGGGATGAAGGCAGTGGCTGCCACCAGCAGCAGTGGGCAGATGTGACCTGGGAAAGGAGAGAGACAGAGAGGATTTCGGGGGGGTGGGGGGAATGCCTTGTCGGGTAAATTTAATTCTTTAAAAGAAGCGGGAGTGGCAGAGATGAACCTGTCCGTGTTTAGTTTCGGAAGCAGGCAGTGGGCGGGTGCTGGGGAGGGCTGGGCACGGCGACGCCCAGGCAGTGATGGCAGTGGCGGATGTGGGAGGGAGGCCCCGGGGAGCCTCGGTTTCCCTTCCCCGCGGTCCCGGCTTGCTTCCCCCACCTGCTTTCATGTGCCCTGGCCGAGGCTGGGGCTGGTGCTGGCCGGGGACACTCCGGGGAGCGGGCACGGGAGGGACAGGGCAGCTCCTGCACTCTGGACCTGGAAGCTGGTGGCTGCCCCTGTCCTCCCTTCCACGTCGGGGCACTTTCATTGAGAAGCACTCCCGGATGTGGAAGCTGTAAGGATGGATCAGCCTTGCCATTCACCGCGGATCCCGTGGGACTCCAGAGTGAACACACTGCAATCTAGCCTTCTTTTCCCACCTAGGTAATCCCAGATCTCTTTCCTTGACGAACCCAGGGGCTGATGCATCCCCCTTTCCTGCTGTGGTGCCAGAGCCCTGCATTTCAGGTAGGTATCTCCCACTGTCCATGCTCATTGTTCCAGACACACCGGGGCACTGTGGTTTCCATGGGCGTGCCGGGGTCCTGCGCTGTTTTTGGAGTAGGGGAAAGGCTTTAGTGTGACTTGGGGTGTACAGTTTTGGGAGGGGTGATGCCAGCAGTGGGAAACAGCAGCTGTTTCCCATGTTGCTGCTCCTGGGTGCCCTCAGAGCACTCCAGACGGTGCCGGGACCATGATGGCAGGGTGTGGGATGGCAGGAGCTGGCTGGGAAGAGGCAGGAATGGCAGATGGCACCAAGGATGCCCAGCTTTGGGCATCACCCACACTATCTCTGGTTTACCAGCAGCCAGTCCATCCCTGGTGATCCCTGCTGATCCTTTTCCCTTCCACAGGATCCTTTCCCTGCTGCTGGGGATGAGGGTCTCTCCTGCCCGTCAGCTCTCGGCCTCGCTCGCTGCAGGTGTGTATCATCTCCAGCACAGGCAAACACTCCTTCACTGCAAATTTTGGGAAGGCAGATGTGAAAACCCTGATGGGGGCGATTTTGGGGCTGCTTGAGAACACCTCAGAGCTCTACATCCCTGGAACAGACCCTGCTGAGCTCCTGGGGCTGAGGCCCACCCCAGAACCATTCCTGCTCTCCTCATCTAGGTTTTTTTATCCCTCTTTTCTGCTCCCAGGAGAGGTTTCCCATTGGCCATCGGCAGCTGAGCAGCGTGCTGCCTGCTATGGCTGGTGAGTGTGGGCATAAACCCTCTGGTTCCATCCCCTCCGTGACGTTACAGTGTCCAGGTGTCAGTGGCAGCCCAGGTTTTGGGACCAGGGTGGTTTTGGGGGGTCAGAGTGAGATCCTGCCCAGCTCTTCCCATCCTGCTGACCTGGCCATGCTGTGCTTGGGAAGCCCGGGGGGTGCTGAGCCCCCCAGACCTCACTGCGGCCTCAACTCCACAGGCTGGTTTAGGCGGCTCCTGCACAAGCCCAAGCCCAGTTCGGTGGAGAGCAGCCTCAACTCCAGCCACTCCGCTTCATCCTCACCTTCCTCCTCCTCCTCCTCTACCAAGAGCTCCAGCTGCTCGGCCACCAGCTCCATCCCGCTGTCGCCCGTGCCAGCGCCGGACATCAGCGCCTCGGACAGCCCCCGCTGGGGCAAGAGCTACGACGTGTGCGTGTGCCACAGCGAGGGGGACCTGGAGCTGGTGGAGGAGCTGGTGTCCTACCTGGAGGGGCAGCCCGAGAGCCTGCGCTGCTTCCTGCAGCTGCGGGACGCGGCGGCGGGCGGCGCGCTGGGCGCGGAGCTGTGCGATGCCGTGCGGGGCAGCCACTGCTGGGTGCTGCTCATCACCCCCGCCTTCCTCAAGGACCCCTGGTGCCAGTTCCAGATGCACCAGGCGCTGGCCGAGGCCCCCGTGGCCAACGGGCGCACCATCCCGGTGCTGAGGGGCGTGGATCGCAGGGAGTACCCCAAGGAGCTGCGGAACATCTACTACATCTCCATGGCGCTGAAGGAGAGCAGCTTCAGGCAGATCAGGGACTCCGTCCTGCGCTGTGAGTATCCTCTGGGATGCTGGTCAGACGTCACTCCGTTGGGATAAGGACCATGGGAAGCGACCAGATCCTGCAAATTTATTTAAAGAGTTGATTTTTAGGTTACTTGGTTGCTAATGGGGCTCATCTGCTCTGCAGACCTTCAGGAGCTGTGTCGGAGCTCCACGAGTGGGATGGAGTAGTGCTGGGAGCAGGCTGATGCATCCCCACGGATGTCACAGAGCTGTCACCTCCAGGTCTGGATGCAGCCACGTGCCGATGGACCCACCACACTGAGCCACTCTGAGCAGACCTGGGAAGCAAGAATGGGGAGTTCCCAGCTCTGTGGGGGACAGTGGGCTGGTGGTGTGACCTCCACCCCAGTGGCTGAAACCCCTCTGGCGGGGACAGGGACATCCATCACGCAAACACTAAGCTCCGACATCGGGTGGGTCTGGGGATGCCCAGAGCTCCTTATGGCGCTGGTGTTCCCTGTCCTGGGGGGCTCTGACACCCCTGGGACCCCCACTGAGCTGACATGACGCCTGCCGGGCTGCGGGCAGGACAAGGCAGGGTAGTTGTTGCCACGGGCTCGTCGGGACTACGAAAATGCAGCAGTTTTAAATTGTGGTGTCTGTTCTGGTTTTTATTTCCGCCTCCGTGCCCGGTTCGCGGGTTTGGCGGGAGGGGAGCCGGGTGTGTGTGGGGGGGAGTTGCGCGTGACACCCCCGGGCCGCAAGGGGGCGCTCTCAGGCCGCGCGGCTCGGGGTGTCGCGCATGCGCACTGCGCGGGGGGACCCCGCTCGCGCGCGCGCGCCATGGCGGGGACCCCGCAGCTGAAGAGGAAGCGGGCGGAGGAGGAGGGCGAGACTGAGAATGGCGGGGCCGCCGCCGCCTTCTCGCTGTCCGACCTGCGGGTGCGGCGCGTCCTGCGGGAGTCGGCGCGGGACAAGACCATGTTCCTGCATGCGGAGGTACCAGCGGGAGGGGGGGGGCCGGTTGGGGCCGCCGCCATGTTCCCCGCTGAGGGCTCGGCCCTGCCCACCGCGGCGCGCGCCGAGAAGTCCACGCCCCTTTCCGCGACCACGCCCCTCCCTCGAGGGTTCGCGGCCCCCCCCATCCCTCCCCTCCTGATCCAGTCCTCGGGAAACCTCCGGCCATCCCATCCCAAATCCAGCCACGCTGGGGTGGGAGGCGGTTGCTGCCCGTTATTGCAGGCCTCGGGTTATCCTTTTTAATTGGTGTAACTGCTGCTTTTTGTGCCTGCCGGGTAAAGCGGTGTTGAATTGCGAGCAGGATGCCGGCTCGGAGCCTGTAAATAGTATAGACGCGTCCATTGTGTGCCATTACAGGGAAATTTGTGTTAAGTCCGGAAATGCCATGGCCAGAGAGCCTGGCTGTGGTGTGGGAACCGTGCAGGTGCCTCAACTCCTGGCTCCTGGAGGTGTGCATCCCAGCCTCGGGACAGTGGGTGGTGGTTAGTGGGGAACAGCTGGTCCCACACCTTCTCTCTTCCATGTGAGCCTGGGGGGTTGGGAGCCCCAGGTGAGTCCCGTTGCTCTCACTGCATGATGTGGTGAGGCCTCACCTGGATCCTGTACAGGAGTGATTCGGGGTGGGGGGTGTTCCACACCCAGCACCTCCCAAAACCACCCTGCTGAGCCCATGTCCGGATCAGGGCTGTGGTTCCTTGGAGCAGGGCAGCAGTGAGTGCTCCCTGCCCGTGGTACAAATCCCTACACCTGTTTCTGCCCTCTTCCTGGCTCTCTGGCTGCCTGGTCAGCTGGGGAGCATCCGAGATGAAATCAGAGATGTTGGGTCAGTGGGAATCCTGGGAGTGTCTGGGGAGGTGCAGGTGGGCTGAGTCATTGCCCACATCCCGTGTTCCCCCAGAAATCACCTGTGTTCCCTCATGGGGAGCAAATTCCTGCTGTGCCTCAGGACAAACATGCCTCTTTTTTTCAGATGGGCTGGACTAGGAGGGGGTTTGGACACGAGGACTGAGAGGCTGTGAGGGGTGTGCTGTGGTGCCTGACCTCAAACTCCCCACCCAGCACTGGACCCATGATTGCTGACTGCTTTATGCCTTTTTATTCCAGAGGATTGGCCTCTCTGGAGAGGGGACAGATGCTGTAGTCATCCTGGAAAAGACTCCTTTCCAGGAAGAGAAGATCCCGGACTTGCTGAAGAAGCCGATGAAGGCGGAGTTGCAGATGCAAAATGACATTTACTGCACGTTCTACCTGAGCCCTCCCCCGGAGCTGAGCGGTGAGTGCCCTGGGCCTGGGATCCTGGGAAGAGTGGCTGGGATGCCGGGATGTGCTTCCTGCCCGCTCCAGAGGGCAGGATGCAACAACACAGACAGGTGCTGCTGCTGGACATGGCTCTGCCACCCCAGCTGAGATTTGGTGACAGCAGCACACCAGGCCCAGCTGGGGGGTCATTGCTGCTCTGAGGGAAATGTCTTTCTTCCAGGGTTTGGATATTGCTCCACACCATTCCCTTTTCCCCACACCATGGACACGTGGTTCAGTTCATGAGCTGCTGAGCAGCCATTCTGTGCCTTGTTGTAAAGGTGCAGAGGGGCTTAGGGGGCCCAGGGCTTTCTGTGGGTTTTTGTTAGTGCTGTCAGTAACTCAGGTAAGAGTTGTCTCTCCCCAGAAGGTTTAAAAAAGCCTCTGCAGAGCAGGTGCAGCTCCTGCTCATCCCAGGGTTGGCACCTCCCGGGCTCTGTCGCCTGGTAAGGGCAGGCAGCTCGTGTTTGAGGGGTTTTCAGATGCTGGTAACCTCGAGTGCTGGGGGCATTGGCCCCATCTCCCTGCTGATGTCACACATCTGTGTGTTACCAAACTCTGTTAATCACAGACTGTGACAAGGACAGATGGGCACGTTGGGGAGCTTCAATGGAAGGCTGTCACTCTGTGAGAGGGATTCTTGTCACAGTGGAAAGGTGTCCTGCTCTGGTGGTGCTCTCCAGCCCCTGCTGGGAAGCAAATCTGGGTTTTGGGCAGGCCAGGCACTTCAGTTTAAACATAGAATCCCAGAATGGTTTGGGTTGGAAGGGACTGTAAAGCTCATTCCAACCCCCTGCCATGGGCAGGGACACCTTCCACTAGACCAGGTTGCTCCAGGCCCCGTCCAACCTGGCCTTGGACACTTCCAGGGATCCAGGGGCAGCCACAGCTTCTCTGGGCAACCTGTGCCAGGGCCTGCCCACCCTCATGGGGAACAATTTCTTCCCACTATCCCATCTCTGCCTGCCCTCTGGCAGTGGGAAGCCATTCCCTGTGTCCTGTCCCTCCATCCCTTGTCCCCAGTCCCTCTCCAGCTCTCCTGGAGCCCCTTTAGGCCCTGCAAGGGGCTCTCAGATCTCCCCAAAGCCTTCTGTTCTCTTGGTGAACCCCTCGAGTTCTCCCAGCCTGGCTCCAGAGCAGAGGGGCTCCAATCCTGGACCATCTCCGTGGCCTCCTCTGGACCCACTCCAGCAGCTCCACATCCTTCTGATGTTGGTCCCAGAGCTGGAGGCAGCTCTGCAGGTGGAGTCTCACCTGAACACTGGGGCAGAATTACCTCCCACAGTTAATTCCACATGAATGCTGGTATGTGCTTTAATTCTGGTAGGGCAGTGATAAATGCCATGTCAGCTCTTCCATAAACACAATTAACAGGTTTAACATAGGCATAACAGCCAAACAGGTTTAACACAGGCAAAATCAATCTGAGTGATTGCCTTTAGGTAAAAACATTGTTGCAGTCCCAGATTAAATTTTCAGGATATTTGATGTGCCTTCCCAAAAACACTTCTCTTTTAGCTCTGTTCCCATGCTGTAGGAGGAGGCACTGTCTGAATTTGGGAGCTTGTGAGTCGTGCAAAGCTCCTCTTGGCCTGTGGAAGTCTCAAAATTGAAGGTTTCAGTGGCAGGAAAACACTGTAACAGCACGGATGTTGTGGGAAGATGTTAAAGTCGCGCTTCCCCAGCTGGAAAAGCTCCTGCTCAGGCTCCTGCTGTGCTCCAGCCCGGCAGGAGTTGCAGCGATTCCCACGAGGTGGCATTGCAAGCCTGAAATCCCGAGGGCTCTCTCCAGCCCAGCCCTGCCAGCCTTTGCCTTCCTTCAGCAGCGCTGTGTAACTCCAGCACCGCTCTGATAATAGAATTCCTTCCTTTGTCGAAGGCCTGTGCCAGGTGTGGAACCCCTCTTGCGGGTTTGAAGGGGGAAGAAGCCTCTGGCTTTTTTTTCTGCCGAGCTTTGTCTCTTTAGTGAACTTTTAAATCCGTCTTTAAAAGGTAAGTTTTTGCAGAACTATTACCCAGTGGTGCATCTTTGCTTCCAACCCCTCCTTGGCACCTCTCTGCTTGCTGAGCACCACCAGGCAGGAGACCAGGAGGGCCCTGTGGACCCTGGAGCTGCTCTCCAAGCTCCCCATGTGGGAGCTGAGAGCGAGGCGGCTTCTTCCTTCTGAGCAATTAACACTCAGTTCTGCGGGTACATGGCTGGAGGGCAGCTGGGCTGGCACGGGGAAACACCCGTGTGTGTCAGGAGGGGAAGGAAATCGCCCTTGTGGGCTGAGTCACGGCCCAGGGACGAGGTTGATGTGAGGAATGAAGCTTAAAAACCTAAACTGGAGAAATGGCCTGTGAGGCTGCAGAGAGTGTCGGGGTTTGACTGACCTGGGATGGTGAGTGGTTGTGTGGAGACCCAGGGAGCCCTTGCAGGGGGTCTGGATGCAGAGTTAGAGAGATGCAGGGTCTGTCTCCTGGTCCTTGCAGGTTTAAACCTGGGTACAAGACACAGTAAAATATTTTGTAGAAAAGCTCAAACTTTGGCAGTGAGCAGTTCATGGGGCAGTCCTGAGCTGTGGTATTGTGGGATAAAGGAATTTCCCCCGGCGGGTTTCAAAGCACCCTGGGCAGCTGAGCCCCCCCCACACACTCAGCCCTTGCTTTCTAAGGTCAGATAAACCTCCAGACTGAGGAAGTGGTGACTGAGGAAACGGTGACAGCGAGTCACTCGTGCCTCGGGTGCGCTGAGGGGGTGAGGAGCTGCTTCCCCGTCCCCCTGCTTTTCCCAAGTGCAATTCCCAATGCCACCTCTGTGGTGCCAAGTCCCTGGGGTTTATTTATTCAGCTGGAGTTCCATACAGCTGACAGTGGAGATTTCCTTCCCCCTGCCCTCGCTGATGTGTCGGGTGCCGCTCCCTCGGCACAGTCAAGCCAGCGCAGGCCCCGTGCGATGACGGCTTGTTTGTGGGGAAGGCAGGGCAGGGGAGGCCACACAAAGCATGTTACTTGAGCAAACGACTCCCCTCCAACCTGGGAAGAGGGATTTTGCTGTGGGAAGATGAATTTTGCTCTGCTGCTGCTTAAAGATGAGATTTTTTTTTTAGGGCTGGGAGCACACCGGCGTGAAGGCGGCACCAGATGAGTCTTGCTCGGCTCATTGGTTTTACTGCATCTGTCAAAGCTAAAATGGAATGTAACGTTTCCAAACCAGCCAGTCATGGTCAGAGTTCATCTGAAGGGCGACTCAAACCCCCAGAGTGAGGAGAGGGAACTTTTGTGAGCGAGTTTGTGAAGAGTAGTGGTATCAGAGCTGCTGCTACCAAAGTGCACAATTTTAAAGGCCAGTTGCTGGATGTTGCCTTGATTTAAGAGGCAGCTTATGCCTAGAGGTGAGAGATAGTGGTGGAGGAAACCCAAACCTTGGGCCTTTCCCTTGCAGAGAAACAAAGGGCTGACTTCATAACAGGAAAGATTTTCCTGCTGCCAGGGGTCGATTGCAAAAGCCAGATGGTTCAATCAGCATGTTCCCTGATAACATCCAGCTCCTCACACCCATTCAACAAGGAGAGCTTGATGTTTGCCGCAAAAAGTCTCCTCTTGCCTGGCTGCCGCAGGATTGTGTGTTCCATGGCACCAAAGCCACGCTGGTATGATGTAAGGGCTCTTCTCAGTCCTTTAGGGAGCCTTTACCCAGGGCTCAAGCTTGTTAAAAACATGTAAATCCAAGCACAGCAGGAGATGCTCTGGCTCCCTTGCTCCAGCACAGCGTGGAGAAATGATGGGAAAAATAGCAGAGCATGGAAGGAAAGTTTTCAGTCATGCAGGAAAAGATCCCTGCCCCAAAAAGAGGCTGGTTTCAGGCAGTGAGGAGCTGAAGAAACTTGCAGGAGCTGCACTGGGAAGGCCGGTCTGTCTCCTGGTGTTTCCATACTCCACCTGCCTCTGGGGCTTGCCCAGCCAAGAAACCTCACATTTACACTGAAATCAAACGCTGGAGCCTGAAGCTGTGTGAGTGTGGGGGTGGTTTGGGGGACAGTAGGAGGTATCACCATGCTTTGCTCTGTGTTTTGAGGGCTGGTAACCTGCAGATTTCCCCTTTGCAGTGGCTATTGCAGCCGAACCCACCGTGTCCTCCTGGGATGAGCCCCAGAGCCCAGGCAGCCTTGGCTGAGTCCCTGGCACCGCCCTGGCTTGTCCTGGCATGTGCTGGCCGTGGAGACTGGGAGCTCTTGCAAGCTTTATCCCTTTGGGCTTTAATTCATTCACTAAGAAGAGCCCCAGCGCTGAGGCAAAGCTGTGTCGTACCTGGCTGCAGTTGGGTTGGAATTTGGTGTTCCCATGTGACTCCTGTGCAGTTGTGATCCTAAAAGTAAATAAACTGTTAATGCAGCAGGGGTGTGGGAGGTTGTGTGCTTTGTGTTGGCTTAAGACATTATATATTGGCTTAGGGCATTATATATTTAGTTAGGGCTGCATCCAAGGAGACACCTGATAATGGGAAGGCAGCCCAGAGCTGCACGCTGCAGGAACAAGGCTGGCAAAGAAAACCTGTCAGAGACCAAATGAAACGTCTCTGCTGTTCCCTGGCCTTGGCAACTTCCTGCACTTGATGGTCAAGTTGATTAGGCAGAAACCAACCCTCAGCTTCCTGCTAGCGTGGGGAGGGAAAAGCACACCACGGGCCCCAAAGCAGAAACAGGTTGTGCCTGCCCTGTGTGCTCCTCTGGATTCCCTGGAAGCTTTAAATCTGTTTAAAACAGGCGGATGGTGCTCCACGTCAGTGCTGCTGAGGGGGGGGGGGAGAAGTCACCACCAGGCCTCTCCTTACTGGTGGGCCTGGAGGGGAATTTTGGCAGAGCCTGGGGACAGTGTGGCCCAAAAGGGGATGAGGCATCATTAGTGAGCTTGGAGTGCCCTTTCCTGTGTGCATGAGCTCTCTCTACCTTGTGTTTCATCCTTTCCTCCTGGCAACAGCTGCCTTCAGCTCTTTTTCCCTTCAGTTCCCCAAACGGAGCTGGTGTTTTGATCCTTCTTGTGTCTTGGGTTGTGTTTTCCTCTCTGTTTTTTTAGCAGAAGAGGGGAGGAGTGTGTGTCTGGTCAATCTGAGCCTCCTTTTCTCCTGGGCAGTTTCCCAGCATGGTGTTTGCCCTCAAACACCCTTCATAGGATGACCAGCCCAGTCAGTTTTCCTCTGCCATGGCAGTGTACCTCCTGCTCATCCAGGCTCCTTCAGTTAAACCTCCAGGGTTTTTTTATAACCTCTAGTTAATTGATGGTCAGTCCTGACTTCCAGAATAAACCCCAGATGCTCCGTGATATCCGGGGCTGGCATTCAGGAACTGATGTGAGTTGGGTGTGAACGGAGACAATCCCTGACCCCCCTCACGTGTCCAGCGGTTTCTTAGGCTGTTCCCAGGCTGGGGCAGGTTTGGGGTGCCCCACAGCCTACGTGCTGCTCCGGTGCAGGAGGAGCCTGCCAGGAGCAGGCTTGGAAAGCGGAGCGTGCGGCCGTGCCAGCGCTGGAGCGATCCCGGGGCGAGCCCAGTCTCGCGGTGGATGTTCCCGTGTCCAAGCGGGACTCAGTTGTGCCTTTGCGTCCTGTGTGCAGCTCCTAAGGACTCTGAGGCTCTGAGTGGGTATCAAACAGCCTCTCTGGCTGCAGTGATTGATGCTGATTAGCATTGCTGGGACGTTTTGGGGTTGATGAGACCTTTAGAAGGGAAATGATCGTTAGTGAACCGCAGCCTCTCCCTCCTCTCCTCTTGCAAACATCTGCTCAGCCGCAGTTGCACGTTCAGGAGTTCTGTGATCTCTGGTTTAAAGCCTCCTGAGTGCTCTCCCTCAATATGAGCAGTCACCTCCCATACTGGGGCAGTGCCAGGGAAGCCATTCTGGGTCCCCCGCACCCCCAGGCACTGTGGTTATGACCACCCAGCATAGAGGGGCTTCTGCTGCAGTCCCTGCTCTTGTTTTGGGGTCTAAAATTAAACTGTGGAAGTTTCTGCCTGAGGCTGCCTGTGGTATTTTATATTTTCCCTTTTCTGTTTTCTCCCCAGTGCTTTCCTGGTCTTTTTAAGTGAGGAGAGCTACAACCTTGTCTTTTTTTTTCCTTTGGTATTACATCATCCTGCTAGAAGTGCTAATAGAGTCCTGGAAAACAACCTTGTTTGAACATGTGTATGGTGGGAATCAGACCAGACTGCCCTTGTGGTTTGCATTTTCATATTTCATGTTACCAGCATTTTCCTGTGGATTTCATTAAGCTGAGTTTGGCATGGAATGAAAAGGCAGAGCTCTCTGGGCCTGTGCGGCACCGACCTTAAAAAAACAGAAACCAGAAAACTAAAAAAGGCTCAAACCACCCTAAATCCTGGCTCTAGGAACAAATAGGTGTTTATATTCAGGGTCTGGCTAGCATATAAACATATATAAAGCACGAGGCGTGGCTTTGGTCGTGGGTTTCCATGGCAGACCCTGGGCACGGGCTGTGGTGTTCACAGTGCCCCAGCCTTTGCCTCAGTCCAGTCCAGTCTGTCCGGGCTCACGGGGCTTTTCTCCCCCTTGCATCGATGTTTATGGCAGCTCTGTGTTAGCTGGGGAGGCAGAGGCACTGCATGCCCTTGGAGCACCTTGGAGTTGTGTCAGGCTCTGTATCACGCATCCAATCTCGGCCAAAGAGGGATGTTTTCCGAGGGTTTTACCCCCGTGGGTAGGATTTACTGCTGCTGACGTCAGAGCTGCCAGGTCAACAAGGTGAGCACTTGCATCCTGTTTGATGCCACAGAAATTACACAGCAAAGTTCCAATCTTAAGGCAAACAGAAAATGTTTTCTTACTGCCAGAGTAAATGGGAAAATGCTCTTTGTGGGCAGGGGGTCACTCAGCCTTCTTCCCTTGGCTCATCCTGCTCTGTGTTGACCCATCAGCCCATGTTATTTGCTCTGGATCTGTCCCTGTGCCCTTGACCTCATTGCCTCCTGCACCTGAGGCTCAAGGCCAAGCAGCCTGAGAGCTCTGGAAAGGAGCTGCTCCTTGGAGCTCCTCTGGGTTTGTGGCTGGAGAAATTTGCTGGGTGCATCCCGTGAACTTTGGATTTGAGTATGAGGAAGCATCATCCCTGTCCCTGGGGTCGTGTTTTCATCCTGGTTATTGTCTACACATAAACCCTGCCCTGGGAGCTCCAGCTCTGCCCTGATGTTGCTGAGAGGCCTGAAAGAACAAGTGTGGGAAAACCCTTCCAGACAGCAAACATCTCCACCTGGACTGGAAAGACAGGCCCTGGCTGTGTTGTTGGCTCTTCCTTCCTGCAGAGAAGCAGCGGCAGTGGGGGAGGTTAAAGCAGTTGTTTGCTTTCCATGTCCATTTTCCCCCACCTTGTTTTAGTGATGTCTCTTCAAAAAGTCTTAGTGTGGCCTTTTATTGAACGGGAAAACAGATTTGTTGGTGGGGCTGAAGGAGGCAAATGTGGGTTGTTAACTCGGTCCCCGTGTTTGTTCCTAGAGATCAAGGCCACGGTGGTGTACCCTGCCACGGAGAAACACATCCAGAAGTACCTGCGGCACGAGGTGCACCTCATCCGGGAGACCTGGGAGGATTACCAGAACATAACCCTGCCCTTCATCCAGTCCCAGAGCTTCAGCATCCAGGTATGGAAACCACCACCTGCCCCTGCTGTCTTTGATCTCCAATGCTCTGGGCTGTCAAGTCTCCTCCAGAGCCCAGGCTGGAGAGCTGGGAGTGCCCAGCTGTGTTGTCAGCTCTGTGGTGCTGCCCCCTCTCATCTGGCAGGCTGGGACATCCTTTTCCATCTTTGCAGAAAAACATTGGCCTTGGAGCAGTACTCCAAGTTGCCTTTCCCAAGGTTTCTGGAGGAAAGCTGAGGCGCTCCTCCTTTCCAAGGGTGGCTCCCTGGGTGTTGGTGCTGTTCTCTGGGCTTTTTAGGAGTCTCTGGGGGGGAAATGGAAAGGCACAGATTGCTCTTAGATTCCTGCATCAGAACTCACTCCTCAGGCTTTGGCTGCAGCTCCTGCCATCCAGCCCTTGTCCATATTCTGTGTGGTGAAACTGTTACTTTTAGTGTTCTCCTTGCCCCAGGGAGACCCAGACTTTTTCCCTGTTTCTATCCTTTTTGACCATTCCCCTCCCTATCTTTCTCCTTCAGGGATCAAAGGAACACAAGTCTGTAGGGATCAATTTGTGCCAGCCTGTGCAGAAGGGGGAATAAAACAAATCCAGGGATTGCTGAGGCGATCCGTTAAAAATAAGCCCCCCACACCAACCAGGGGGCCTTGGATACCCCCCTAACCTCTTTTCTGCTGCATTAAACTGCAGCATTTATTAGCTGGAGAAAGGCAAGGGTGTGTTTTCACCTGGTCACAGCCTGTAGGATGTTTTATCTATGCTTTTGCTCCCAAAGCTGTTCGGTTTCCTGGTGTAGCAGCTGCCCTCAGGATGGGCTTGGGCTCTCACTCTGCCTCTTCCACTAAGTGCTTGTGAGCTGATTTCTGTCCATGGAAACACATTCCTGGTGACCATCAGCAGCATCTGCTGAGGAATCATGGTCAGCACAGTCAGTCCTTGACCTCTGGGGTTTGATAATGCTGTTCCTTGTCTTTATCCAGCTGTTTTTGCCGAGTGGAAAGGAAAATGTGAAGGGTAACAGAAGTACCAGGGGACCACAGAGGCGTCTGTGTTTCCTGCTGGAGGATGCAGAGCGTGGATGCTTTCAGGATAATGGTTTTATTGTGGTGCCAGTCCCTGGACATGTGTTCTCCTTGCTGGGCTTGTGCTGGGAGCAGCAGAAACACTCGGTCAGCTGGGGATCTGCCCCATCACGAGGCAGCCTTGGGTTTAAAATTCAGCTCATCTGATCAGTGAACTTATTTAGGGCTCTGATAGCTTGGCACTTGTGATCAGAGCAGGCACAAAAACCCCAACAAAGACCAAACTTCCAGTTCCTGCTGAGCTTCCTGCTGAGCTTTCCTCCCAGGGTCACGGAGCACAGCGAGCTTGTGCTTCGCTTTCCAGAATCACTTAGAGAATCTGATCTTCAGAATGTTGTTGCTGAGAAGAAAAGGCCAGAAATTTAGGGAAAAAAACCTAGATCAGGGGAGGAGAGGTTGTTTTCTCCCTCCAGATGTATTCAGGTCAGTTCACTGTGATTTTAAGTTTTGATAAGAATAATTAAACTCTGGATGGAGTTCCCCTAAAGTGTCTGGTGTGCACAGCACCCACCAATGTGTTTGTGAGACTGGCTGCACCTCCCCTACCCACCTGGGACAACCAGAATGTTCCATACCCATATTTGGGTGGGAAAAATGATGTTTCCAAACATTTTCATCTTCTAAGCTCTAGCAATTTCCTGCTGCCTTACTTCATCTTCTGGGGGTATGGCTGGGGACTCCCTCAGCAGTGCTGAAGCTAGAGCACAGCGTGCATTTTGGAGGTGTAAAGAAGGATGCTGGAGCTCAGGCTGGGAACCAGGGAATGCAAAGATGCTTTTCTCTGGTCTTACTCTGTCCCTTATCCCTGGTCTCTTCCATTTCTAAAACTCTTCTCTGAATGGTGCTTTGCTTTGCAGGAGGAGCATGGGGGGATTAACCAGAGCAGGGCTTACAGAAGTCTGGAGGCTGGAACTATAAGTATGGAAGAAGAAGAGTGGTGAGCTGTTTCCTAATCAGCCAGGGCGCCAAGAGATGTGCACTGCCCAAAAAACACAGACCTTTTGTGTGTCCCCCTGGGAGCTGCCAGCAGCCAGGGCTGCATCCAGCTCAGCCTAGTGAGCAATCTGCGCCTTCCTCTTTGAACAGGGAACAAAATGAGCCAAGTTTGCCTCCCAGACCCTGTTGTAAAGATTTTGGTGCAGCTTGGGGGGGGTAAAAAAGTACAAACAGCTCCACAGTGCTGCAAGTGGTGTGTGCTGAGCTCCACAAGAGCTGAGTTCCACTAATTCACTGAAGTGCTCATAACATCCTGTAGTTTGTTGGTTGTTGGAGGGTTTTATGGACAATTAACTACAAATTATTTGGTCATCTTAAAAATCAAGCCATTGGAGTTGGGTTTTTTTATATTCTAGTGGCAGGGAATGTGCAGTAATCCATGAGCTTGGGCTAAATGCACCTGAGATGTTGGATTTTATATTCTCTCCTGGTTTATAAATCATGTTTCTCTTTCAGTGGGTGTATAATATCCTGGAGAAGAAAGCTGAGACCGATAGAATTGTCCATGAAAACCCAGATCCTTCCAATGGCTTTGTTCTGGTTCCAGATTTAAAGTGGAATCAAAACCAGGTTGGTTTGCTCCTCTAATGCTGCCTGTGTGAAGGTTATCCAGAAGAAATATCCACTTTCAGGCTACAAGCAGCACCCTGATGAGAGTTTTAGTGGGTGCCTGTGTCCTTGTGTTCACCCTCGTGTCGACTGTGGACGCTGTAGAACCCAGGCTGTTCTCACTGCTGCTGGCATGTATTACTTGGGTTCATTTCCTCTCCTGTATCAGCCCAAATGTTGTTGGGATGTTTTTTTAACTGAAATCCTGTATTTATTCCTGCTGAACTTCTCTGGGGTTTTTTTTGCAAGCCTTGACTTTAGGTGCAAGAATGTTGCCCTTTGGCTGCTGCAATTAACTCTCCTCCACAGCTTTAAGCAGGTGGACCTGGGCTGCTGAGCTGCTTCTTCACCCCTCGTGGGAGTGGCCACTTGATGAAAATGACTTTTAAAACCAGGCTGTAATCCTAAACCGAGAAGTATTTCCTTGTGCTCCAGCTCCCTTTCATGCTGTACTTTTGGGGAGCTGAAACTCCAGACACAAACCCCACCCCTTCCCTGGGAAGTCGATGGCGTCAAAAAAAAAAGTCCCCTTTGTGTTTCTGATCCTCATCTGCTTCTGCAGGTGGCAGGCAGGAAAAGTTCCCATATGATTAAGGCTTAGAAATGGAACTAAAACTCAAAGAAGTGGGAACAGAAGCCTGCAGTGGTGGGCAGCACCATCCTGTGTGTCTGTGCTGGGAACAGCTGTTTGTGGTGCAGTGCTGAGTTGTCTCGGGGAGTGACTTGGGGAGCACAGATACCACTGCAGGGAGGTATCTGCTCCCCGTGAATTCCCTGCACATCAGCTACTCCAAAAATCCCCTGCTGGGCTGTGATGGCGTAACCAAGCTCGAATTTCCACTTGTTCACAGGAGACACGACCTTCTTCCTGGAGGGACTTTGCAACAAGTCAGGCTTTCAGGCTGTGCCACTGTGCCCTGTTCAGTGCCCTTCCAGGGGAGCAGTATTTGGGGACCCTAAAATATGCAGCATGCTGTCCCTTTCCCAGCTGTGAGCACTGTGGTGGAAATCCTTACTTGCTGCCACCAAGCTTTACAATTCACATCAGGATTGGGCTAAAATTTGTGTTTCAGCTTCCCCTGGAGACCTGCTGCATCCACGCCTGCCAGCTGGCATGGTCAGGGAGCACCTCAGTGGTAGGATTTGTCCTTAGGGGAGGTTTCCCGATGCTCCTGTCGCCTCTTGGAATGTTGAACAGGATCTTCTGGATTTCTCCCTGACTGCTGAGTTGCTGTCTGCACCCCGGTCATCCCTGGAGCTATCCGGGCCCTTTGCTGAGCTGGTTCCCAGGCAGGCGAGACAGCATCCCAGGAAGGGCTGTCAGCTTTGCCTTTGAGCCAAGGAATTTCTTCTTGGCTGTGGGTGACACTGAGCCAGAGCTGGTGCCGCCGGCCCCGAGGCTGTCGGGAGCGCCGGCTCCTCCCGCCGATCCCGGTGGGCACACACGATCCCGGTGGGCACACACGGCTCCCGGCAGGGCTGTCCGAGCCCTCCCCCAGAAATCCTGTCAGCAGCATTGCCTCGCACTCGCTTAGCACCTGGCCCTCAGATCCTGCCAATTCACCTGGAATTATCTGAGGCTGACGGATGGGAGGAAAATTTCTGCTTCACGCTGTGAAATCTGCCGGCCACAACCTTCTGGGAGCTGCCTCAGTAGTGCTTGGAGGTGGTTTCTTAGGGGTTTTGTTATTTTGGGGGTTTTTGTTTTGGTTTGTTTTGGTTTTTTTTTTTAATTTTTTGGTATTTTTTTTTCCCTCCACAACTTTTTGAGTTGGTTTCAAACCTGCAGGAGGCCCGAGGCGTTGCCTGAGGCGCTGCCTGGCCTGACATCATTCCGGGCCTTTTTAGCAACAGGCTTATTTGTTTCAAACAGCAACATGCAGATGTTGTTCTAAGGAGAGGAGCTGTTTGCTTTCCCTCCCACCAGCCAGCCTGGAGCCAAAGAGCACGACCTGATACACTGTCTTTTTCCGGAGCTGTGCATGGGAATCACATGGAACAGCATGGTGGAGGGTCCTGAGAGCATCCTTTGGCACAAGCATCTGTTTCTGAATAGCCACGTGGGTTTCTCACAGTGCTGAAGAGATCTGCTGGGTCTCACACGTCCAAACCCTTTGCTTTCCAGTGTTTGTATTAGAAAGTCACAAACTGAGCTGAAGGAGACTGGGATTTTTATGTTTTTAAAGTGTAATGATCCACAACCTTATGTCTTGTTAAAACACTGGGTGCGACGAGAGCTCCAGGAGATGCCAAAGGTCTGGCTGAGAGCTGCTGAACGGGCATATTTCACTGCCCTGGGGTTGTGCAGTGACCAGTTAGTCTTGAAAACTGTTATTTATAGAACTGCTGTGACTGGAGAGTGGCCAGCTGTTTGCACAGTGGAAAAGTGGGAAGCTTTTCACTGGGAAAAAATCTACAGTTGCAATTTTGGCCTCTGTTTTGCTGTAAATCCTCGTCTGAGCGGGGAGATGAATCTCTGAGAAGGCTGTGGAGTGTGCACGGGGGGTGCTGGCAGACCCCAGGCACCTTGGTGATCCCCACGTAGCTGGGTGGGCACCTGCACCACGTCTCTGGCCTCAGTCCCCCAGGGACAGCATTTTTGGGGTGCTCAGGGAGATGCTGTGAATGTGCAGGGGCAGCACCGAGCGTGGTGCTCGAGGTGTGGAAGAGCTGATCGCTCCATCTGCCTTCTGAGCTGAGAAGGCATTTGTCATCCCGCTGTTCGTTGGCTGGGATGAGGCTGTTCTCTTGTGGTTATTCCTGGACAACCCCCAGTTTGTCCAGAAATGTTTTGAGGTGCAGTGGGTTTGTGGGTGAGCACATCCCCTATGGGGAGATTCAGCCCAGCCTGGGTGTGGGTTGAACACGAGGGCTGGTACCCCTGTGTAACACAGGTATCCCGGCATAACAGAGCCTGGGAAGCCGTGGATGGTGTGTCAGGTCCACAGTGCTGCTGCCTCCATCTGCTCTCTCTGTGTCCCCTGCATCCCCCCCTGTCTCTGCAGCTGGATGACCTGTACCTGGTGGCCGTCGTGCACCGCCGGGAGATCAAATCTCTGCGGGACCTCACGGCCGAGCACCTCCCGCTGCTGAGGAACGTCCTGCAGGAAGGCAAGGTGAGCCTGAGGCCGGTCCCACACTGCTATCCTGGCCAGGGAGGGCTTGGCTGCCTCTGCCAGGGCACTGCTGGGGTTTTCTGGCACAGCATCTGCCTGGGGACTGATAACTGGGAGATGATAAATCAGAAAACAGGGCTGTGCTGCTCTCTCTGCCTGGAGACCCCGATCCCTGCTCTCCATCAGCACCTTCCCCAGGTCATGCCATGTCCGAGGTGCTTTAGGGGTGCTCCATCCTTCCTGTTAGCAGTGAGCTCCCCATCCTCCCTATATCAACAACCTCCTCCCTGACTCCGTCCGTTCTCACCAGCTGACGTGTTTTTCCATGGGGTGTGTTCGCTAGATGGATGTGCAGGAGCTTCTCTTTCCTTCACCGCTTCAGAATTTGGAAAGTAATTGCACCGGGGAAAGTGGGAGATTAATTAAGAGATTAGTCAGGGGATTGCAGCGCACGGAGCCGGCGTTCACTGGTGCTGTTTATAGCTTTAATTACACCGCTGGTAACAGGATCCCTGTCACTCCCTGAACGAGCCGGAGCGATAAGGGTGGAAGGGAAAACGATATGAGTGGAGAGCACATCCCATCACGGAGGGAGAAAAGTGGGGCAGCTGGAGGCATCACTCCATCCCTGCCGAGGCTCAGAGGGCAGGAAGAACTCTGCCCTTCCCAGCTTCCCCCTCTCCCGTGCAGTGAGGAAGCAGAAATCCCTTCTGCCTTTCCCTGTGCCTTCCTTGCCATCCAGGAGCGCTCCTTTCCGTCCGTTCCAAGGTGCTGGCAGTTCCCGACCCGTGTGTTTCCCGTCCCTAGGAGGCCATAGCGAAGCGGTTCGGGGTGCCAGGCTCCCAGCTGCGCATCTACCTGCACTACCAGCCCTCCTACTACCACCTGCACGTGCACTTCACCGCCCTGGGCTACGACGCGCCGGGCAGCTCCGTGGAGAGAGCCCATCTCCTGGCCGATGTCATCGACAACCTGGCCGGGGACTCCACCTTCTACCAGAAACGGGCCCTGACCTTCCCCCTGCGGGCTGATGAGCCCCTGTTTAAGAAATTCCAGGAGGCAGGAAAAGTGTGAGCAGGCAGAGGTGCTTTTGTATCATATTTTTTTAATGAATAACCCTTTTGCCAGGGTTTTTTTTTGTTTGTTTCTTTGGGTTTTTTTTAAGGTTTTGTTGCATTTACGGTTTTTTAACTGTGTTTTTGTACAAGATGGGGCTGATGATCCTTTGCTATGGAAACTGTGTTGTCTGTTGAAGTCCATTAAAACACTGATTGAATAAACCCCTTTGAGTGGGCTGGATTTTACCCTGGAGTGGGTGCCTCTGGGATGCAGCGAGCATCCAGGAGGGTTTGGGCAGGAGGGGCTGTGTGTGTCCATCTTCTCCACCCAAAGGACAGCCCCTGTCCCCAGATGTCAGCCCAGACGGGAGTAGGCAGACAGACAGGTCCAAAAAACGCACTGTCCTCAGAAAGATTCATTTATTTGCTATGAATTTACCCCTGGGAAAGGGATTGCAGCTTTCCTGGGGCAGGGAGGGGTGTCTTGCTCCAAAGGAATCAGTGACTAACCGAGTCCTCGCCCTTCCCGGCTGGCTCTGTGGAGACAAACGCTGTGTGCTGCCTGATCCCAGCCCCAGGGCCATCACCTCCTTCATCACCTCCTTCAGCATCTCCTTCAGCTGCTCCTTCAGCATCTCCATCTGAAACGACTTTGTGTGCAAGGGCAGCCCTTCCTGCCAGAGCCTGCTCGAGGTTTTGCAAAGATTATGGGGGAAAAAAAATAAATAATAGTGCTCTTCCTTCTGCCGAGGGGGTGGTGGGGCAGGAGAGAGCCGGGAGTTAGGCTTCATGATCTGTTGTGGTGGGAAAAGCCAAATTCTCTGTATGGAGAGAGCTTGCTCTGCCACCCAGCCACGGATTCCACTGGACACCATCCTCTAAATTCTTCATGAGCTCTTGCTGCCAGAAAGGGCTCTGGTTTCTGTCGGTAACCGGGGTGGAATCACAGGAATCACCTCTCTGGTACCCAGTTCTTTGCTCCTTTCCACACGCTGGGCTCTAACAGGGTGTTTTGTTTAGTGTTTTGTTGTGGTTTTTTTTTTTTTTTTTCTGATGGGAGGAAAAACCAGATGTGATTTACTTTTTTCAGGGCTGCTGCTGTGCATGGAAGCTGCTGTGATGGAGCAGCCGGCTGGAGTGCAAGTGGCATCATCAGAGCTGCCCCAGGGCTTTGCTCAGCTCATTTATAGATATTCAGGTCAGGCAGTTCCCTGGTACCTTTTAGCAGCAGGGAGAGGCAGAGCAGCTGGATGCAGCCACTCTTCCTTATTTCCCTTCAGAAATTCCCATTTGCTGGGTTAACAGTTGGACTCTATGACCTTAGATTATTCCATGAGTCTAAAACTCCAATCCATGGCAAGAAAGCTGAACTGATCTCCTGGAGGAGCCTTTCCCTCTTGCTTCAGCTCTACCTACCCCCGGAGCAGTGCACAGCAGGGGCCAGAGTTGATTTTGGGAGCTGGGGAGCTTTAGGATCTGGTCAGTGGGGTTGGCTGTCCCCTGGCTCTCCCTTTCTCCAGGTTTTAAGTTGCTAAAGGGAAGGGATGATTTTTTTCAATACCAGAGCATTTTCTGTGGCAAAAGGGAGCTCGGTCTCCCTGGCTGAGAGAATATCCCAGTTTTATGTCCCCACCCAGGCCAACCCGGGAATGCAGATGATTAAATAACCCATCCTGTCTCCTGGGAAGCCTCGCTGGTCCTCAGGTATGGAAAAAACACCCTCAGTCTTGAAAATAGACTCTGAGGGTTGTGAGAGACAACCAAGCAGCACATCTTCCACAGACCATCTGTCTGGCTCCTGCTGGAGGAATCGTTTTCCTGGGAGACGAGTAAGCATGCTGCCATCACCCATCTCCCTGGGGAGCTGTGGGATATATGGAGCCAGGGATGGGGGCTGTCCCTGCCTGTCCCAAGAGAAGGGGTCAGTGGGAGGGATTCTGATGGATCTGGAGCCTTCAAAGGATTTATTGAGGTCCCGGGGCTGGGTCTGCAAAGCCAGATGGTGTTCCCAGGCTGTGGCTTGAGGAAGGGTGAGTCGAGGTGGTCGGCAGGACAAAGCCAGCCTGTGCTGGGCATGAATCACCCCATTCTTGCCCCTGTGGAGCAGATGCTGCAAGCCTGGCCGAGGGCATCCCCTTCCTCCTTTACTAACACATCCTGCTTGCCTGGTGCCTGCTTTGGCCTCATCACCCCTTCAGAGCTGTGGTGTGATGGCAGAACCTCTTCCTGTGCCCTCCTGAGGCAGGACACCAGTCCCATTCCTTGCTGCTGCAGCCGGGGCGTTCCCTGAACCCTTTTATTTCCGACTGGCTCTGCAGTGGGTGATGGCAGAGCTCGTTACAAATTCACTTCTCAAACAGCCAGGATTCCCCACCCCCCCTTTTCTTCTCCAAATTACTCGGCGCTCATGCTGAATTAATCCAACTGGCAATTTATCCTTTGTAAATTAAATATTAGGGCAGGGTGTAGCCGTTAGCAGTGACTGCCGAGCGATGGCTCCTGGCACTCTGCTACGGCAGCAAATACATTTCCATTTCCTGGTGGATTTTAGAACCCTCTTGTCTGCTGGGGCTTTGGTGGCCATGGGAAGCTCCTGGCTGGTTTTTGGGTGCACACAAGGGAGTTGGGTCACCCAAGATGTGGGTAGGAAACGCAGGTACATCACGGACCCATGGGGGCACAACTGCTGCGTGCAGGTGTCCTGATGTTCCTGTGGGATGGACACAGCTGGTGTCCAGTGCTTGGCATGGGATCACCATTGTTTCCCCAAACCCTGATGCTCCCCAGACAAGGGGGGGATGCTGGGCATGGAGACCATCACCCCAAAATGAGCCCATCCACCATCACCAGCAGGAGGGGGCTGCTGGGGACCTGGAGAAGATCCTGGGAAGTGAAGCTTTGCAGCCTCTTTTAATATTCTGTCTTGGGGGCACGGTAAGAACAGACATTTGGGATGCATTATTACTGCTGGAGCTTTATTGAACGCCAGTTATTGTTTTCAGATGCAATAAACTGAGCAGGGGAACCCACGAGACCCAAGGGTCGAAATATCCTTCAAGCAAATCCCAGCTCCCGCCGCTGAGCTGCGGCCCCACTAATTACCCCTGGATTGTCTATGAGCCCGTGGCAATTAAAACCTAATTATGGTGAGTTTTCTTGTCACCACGGGTTAAACTCTGCCCCACTTAATGGCCAGGAAACCCCATCCCAGGGAGGATGAGGGATGAGGTGAGGATGCTCTTCAAATATTGATGAAATTCCCTTGGCAAAACTGGATCCATCAGCTCCATGGTTGTTTTATTGATTAATATTGGTGTTGGACACGTCAGTCTTCAGCTGGTGGTGCCCTCCAGGTTCCCACTGACTCTTGCTAGAAAAAGAATAAACTTTGCTGCCTTATTGGTGCCTCCTCCAGCACCAATATTTGACATTATTTTCCATTTAAACATCAGCCTTAATGTTGTCTCAGGGGTTGGCAAAACTGACCCAGCGCAGGAGAAACTGTTTTGGGACTGTAGAAATAAAAAAATCTTGATGATAATAACAAAGCTCAAAGGGCTGACTGCTGATTTTGTGTATTGTGGGATGGGATGGAAATGGAATCCCGTGGGAGAAAGAGGTGGCTGGATATGGGGCATTCCTGCAGTGAGGCTTAATTTATTTGCAAGAAAAAGAAAAAAAACTTAATATGGGTCGATGATTTTAAGCAAAACCAACCCCAGATCCTCCGTGTGTCGTCTCAGGATGGTTTTGAGCATCTTCTTATGGGGGTTCAATGGGGAGACGATGCAAACCCCTGACTCAGTGACCTGGTGGGAAAAGCTTTGCCCGCCCCTAAAAATTTGCTGTGAGCCAATTCTGGGGCATTTCGGGGAGTTACGTGGGGAAGGGGCTGCCCCCAGCGCTATGACTTTTGGGGGTCCGCAGGGCAAGGGGAAGGGGTGGTTGTCCTCCCCCACCTCTCCCGTGCCCAGGATGCGGGGACCGGGCGCCTGCAGCTCCCGGGATGCTCTTCCCTCCCTCCTTCCTCCTCCTCCTCCTCCCTCCGCCGCCCATCCCGCTCTGTGCGCAAGCGTGTCCGCCCCCCGCCCGCCCCTCCGGGCCAGCCCCGCATCCCGCACCCACCCCCCGCATCCTCCCGCCGCACCGACCCCCCCGCGCCGCCCCATGGTGAGTCCGCAGGCCGGGGGTCTCTCCGTGACCCCCCGCGTCCCCCCGAGTCCCCTCGTGTCCCCCCGGCCCCCTCGGGGCCGCGTCTCCAAAGCGTGTTTGCGAGTCGCGGGGTGCTGAGCAAAAAAAAAAAAAAAAAAAGGAAGGGGGGAAGCAAAACCCGAGTGGTTTTTGGGAGGGCTGGAGGGGTTGGGGTGGGGGGGACCCCACGCTGGGAGGGCGCAGGGCAGGGCAGGGAGCGCTGCCCGCTCGGCAGCGCCCGGGCAGGGCTGGTATGGGGGGTTCAGGTCGGGGGGGACCCCCGCTAACCCCAGCTCAGACCCCACCGGGGCATCCCAAACCTTGGCATCGCTGTCCCGGCGAGCGCGGCACGTCGGAAAGGGACCGAATGGCTTTATTTCTGTGTCTTGGGGTTTTCTAATAATTATTATGGTGATTTTTCTAATTAAGGCACTTAATCAGTGCCTGAAGCGAGCGTGGGCAGCGGCGAGAGGAAAACCCCCGTTCTCCCAGTGCCCTTCCATCTGCTGCCGCCCCGTTCCCGGCAAAACAAAAACCCTTCGTCTCGCCGGGAAAAAACGGCCTTCGGCACCGCTCCTGCCTGCGGCCGCTCCCGGGGAAGGCGATCCCACCCTGAGAGCGCTGGGAAGAGAGGGTCTGGCATCTCCCCAGAGCGCCAGGGGGGCTCGTTTCGGCGAGTCTGTGTGGTGGGAATGCCCGGGAAGCGGGGTAAGGAAGGGAAAATCCTCCCGGAGGCCCTGGGAGGGGAGGACGTGCCCCGTGTACGGCTCAGGACGCGTCTCTCTCTCCGCGGAACAACGGGCTGAGGAGGATTTATTAAGTGGTCTGAGTCTTTTTTTTCCCCATCCTTGAGCATCTCTTGCCGGGCTGATGGATGAGCTCTGGTAGCCTGGTGATCCCAAAGGGGTAGGAGGGGTCCCTGCTGATCCCCCCGCCCCGATCCTGGTGTGGACAGAGCTGCTGGGAGCGGGCTCTGGGCATGTTGGTGCAGGATAAATCCTATCCCAACCCATCATGTGTGCCTAGAGCCC